TTGTGGTGACCACCTATTAATACACTGGGACATAATTCATACATGGAACTACAGTTGGGGCTATTGTTTCCACACGGACATATATGTGTTGTTATCTATATATTTTGTGTGCCCTCCTGGCTCTTTCTCTTGTCGTCCCGGGCTGCGACCCAACAACATCTACATTTCTGCTGCTCATTAAAGCAAGCTTTGTACCTCCATTGCACCGCCTCCGACTCCCTATCTCTCGGCACTACAATGTATTGATTTAAATTGACATGCATCCGCTAAGAAAAATAGTCCGTTGTTACCATTTTTTTAAACAGTCTGAATGAAACGGCAGCTCTCAGCTGAGTGTTTACACACCTAATGGCCCACCAGCCACAGCTCTCTCCCCCCCCTGATCTTTCTTCTCCACCAGTTAACTGTAGGTTACTCTGAGTGACAAGCTTACAGTTAGTGAAGTAACACTTTTTTTTGTGAGTCACGACCTGGCTGTCTCATTCTAACATAAAGCTCCAAATGCTACTGTTTCCACTCGGACTTCAATACAGCTACACCATTGTTTGGTTTCCATGGTAACGCGTCTCTTTAGTAGAGCGCACTCCTTTCCTGTAAATTACAGGTCCAGCCAGGCAAAACAGTGCACTTCTCTTTCCCGCACTACTGTGACAGACCATGGGGCTGGGTCAGCCACTAACATATTCATATTGCTCTTCTCAAAAAGAGAAATATGAACGTTAGTTTTGAACTGAAATGATCAAATAAAGTCAAAATGTCAGTGTTTACAAACATTGACCATACCGTTCACCAGCCCCCACCCCCCTGCCTACTGTAGGCCTATACTCTTTGTTTAAAACTAATTGGCCATCGGAATGTGTGTGATATCTCTTCTCCAGCAGTCTGTAGGTTTGTGTTCGCATATTTATGCTGTCGCAGTTCCTAAATGACACGTTTACACCTTAAAACGATGTTTAATACGAAAAGTAAACATTCAGGGTTTTTATTAAGGGTCATTTTCAGACTGAGAGTTGTGTAGTGGTAGCTCATATAGTCTTGATTCTTGTGGTTAAACTTTTCGCTCCGTATTTAAGGTAGTGGGGTCAAAATTCCTTCGTCACTTCCTTTTCAGTTCTTTTTTTTTTAAATCTTCTTTTTTTGTTAACCTGTTAAACCCTGAGCCTGTTTTTCAGGTTTCAGGCTCGAAAATGACATTCCCAGAACAAATGACCATATCTTCTAAAAGGGTTAAATGAATAATCTTTTTTCTCAAAGCAATGATAAACCTGTGAGTTGGATGTAGAAAAGTCAGAATCAATATAGCATTTTTTTATTTTAAAGAAGATTGAACATGGTAAAAAACTGTAAATTATAGTGTCCGTCCAAAAAAAAAACATTACTTATAGTGAAAACCAGCCTTGAATGATGGGATCGGACACTAAAAGTTTTAGGAATCCTAACTAGGACATATAATAAGTACCCTGTATCAAGATTGATTAAAAACAAGTTATATTTGACAATTTTTAAGACATTTTGAAGAAACCACCTCTGGGGTCATTTGGGTGTATTTGCCATATCTCTGGAACCCATTGGTCGATTTTGATGATTGACATATCTTTTTAACCGTTAGAGCGAATAGAATCGAGGGGAGGTTCCTAAAATCCATCTAAACATTACCCATTGGTGAATGAGTGATGCGTAGCCAGAAGGCCCAAAACAGGAAACTGTCAAACACTCTCGTAGCTATCATAGCAGCTATATATGAAAACTCCGTCATTGACATAAAAATGGAATGATGGATTATCAGTAATAATTTCAAAGTGACACAGACACATTGGATTAACCTTCAGCAGTGTTTTTATCATTTTAATGCCATTGAACACAACTTTTGATCAGAACAACAGCAAAGGTAAGACAATGTCCCGTGTTTGCTCCGTAAAGCTATGTGGTGTGATGTCCGGATTCGCTTCCCATGCCGCGAGTTGTGATCGCTCAGTGATGCTACTTACATTTCTGGAATCTGTAGAATCTCAGCTTGCTAATCGATATCTTCCGATCCGATAAGGGTATTTTACCATGAGTTCTGTGCCATTTCTCACTCAGGGCTCATGTAGATGCTTCTTGTGAGACTTGTGTTTTGTTTCGGTAAAAATGTAGTTTCTTCCCGTTAAGTGGGTATGACACATTAATAGGTTTTTAAATGTTAAGAAGCCCTGAGATACATTTTCGTGAAAAAAAAAAACAGGTTTAACAGGTTAATCAGACCTACTAATTGACCTAACAGAAGCTTTTGAGTCTATGTAAGTTTACTGCCAGGATCGGATCCACCTGGATCAGCAAGGTCTCACCTCTACTAACTTCTGAAGAACCAGGTTCAATTAACTGCTGTTTCAATTCAGACAACGCACGAAGTCCGTCTAAGCGATCCCGTAGGATTCTAGTATCTGTAATGAGGTGTGGCCCTGCCTAAGTGTGAGTGTGGAAGTGGTGCAATCTTACCTTAAAGCAGGACAGCGCAGATTTATTTTAAGTTATCCCAGTCCAAAAGGGTGGGATGATTTTATTTGAAGAAAATGGTCCACACTTTTACAGGGTTTTTACCTTCTCTCGTTACAATGATATCATACAAAAATATTTCATGCTGTGGTAAATTACTAATCAAAAACCTCAATTCACAGTTTTACATTTCTTATTTTATTTGGTAAATCTCTCTTCAGTTGCATTAAAAACCTCTTCCGCTGGAATTCAGAGGAAAACCCTCATAGATTACCGGGCCCTCTTCCGTTGGTAATATTAAAATATCTAGAGTACTTTTCCTCTCTCAGCTATAGAGCTTTTATTCCCCACACAAGGACAGAAAACCAAAGACACACCTACATACCTATATATGTGGGGAAAGGTCATGACCTCTGGTGTGCGGGACTGGACATATCCTGACTTGTCTCCTATGGTATGGCCTAAACACATTTTGGGTCTCCAGTACTTTTCCATTGAGTCAGGGGTCTCCTCTCTACAGCCTGCTGTGAGTGAAGACAACTGTCTCCCCTCTGCTAAACAATGACACCATAGAGATAAACTATTAAGGCCTTCAACTTAATTTTGCAAACGACTTACATTTTGTATTATGAGTATAGAACAACATGAAATATAATGCATTTTCATTGTGGGTTATATAAGATTATATTTGATTTCATGAACTTTCATTTTAATTATTCAACTCAATATTGAAACCTCAATAAAGCCACATTTGGAGAAAAACAAATCGAATTCTCAAAAAAAGTTAAATTTTGAGGAAAAAGTCAACATTTCGAGGAAAAAGTTGACTCTCTCCTCCCACCAGTCTGACCTCACCAGGCTCTGAAGAGAAACAAGAGAGTCATCAGAGAGAATAAAGTGAGTTTGATGAAATGAACCAATCACAGCTGCAGCTCCTCTATTTTATATTCTATTTACATGTATATCAAATTAAAATGCAATGGTTGGATTGTAATATGCACATAAGATACAGGTTAGAAATGGCAATGAGAAAAGTTGAGGAAAAAGTCCTAATTTCGAGGAAAAGTCACATTTTGGAGGAACAAGTCGTATTCTAAGAAAAAAGTAAAATTTAATTAGAAAAGAAAAGTAAAATTTCGAGGAAAAAGTAAAAAACTCTGAGAACAAAGAGAAAAAAATCATATTCTAAAAAAAGAGTTACAGTTAAAGGAGCTTACCGGAACAGGTAAGAGTCATGAAGTGGGAAGAGGAACTTGATACTGCACACTCCCTCAGAGCAGATGCAGACTGAACACATTGAGGACAGATCCACCACACAGATCTCTTTGAGGACTCTCTGTCTCCTAGAGAAACAGCAGAGCCACAGTCGAGATCTCTGCAGGCAACACCTGCTGTGTTCAGGGTCCAGGTAGAGTCCCACACTGGTCTCCATTCTCCTTGATGTTTCACCTCCAGGTCTCCTGCACAGCGACTCTCTCCTCCCACCAGTCTGACCGGCTCTGAAGAGAAACAAGAGAGTCATCAGAGAAGAGTTTGATGAAATGAACCAATCACAGCTGCAGCTCCTCTATTTTATATTCTATTTACATGTTTATCAAATTAAAATGCAATAGTTGTATTGTAATATGCACCTGAGCTACAGGTTAGAAATGGCAATGAGAATCTTTGAGGAAAAAGTCAAATTTTTTAGGGAAAATCCAAATTTCGAGGAAAAGTCACAATTCTGAGGAAAAAGTCAACATTGACAAAAAAGTCAACTTTCTAATTAAAAAAAAACGTAACATTTTGAGGAAAAAGTAATTTTTTTAGTAAAAGTAAAAAATGTGAGGAAAAACTTGAAAATTCTGAGAACAAAGTCAACATTGGATAAAAAAGTCAAATTTTTATAAAAAATAAATGGTGCAAGAAGTCTATATACATCTAGATACAATATGATATGTACAGGAACAGATAATGAAATTAAATGATGTACATTAAGACTAAATTAAAAACGGTTAATTTTGGTGATAACTATTTATATAAATAAGTAGATTGCAAGATGAGACTTCTTGCACTATTTTGTATATTTGAATTTTAATATATATGTTGCATTGCTGGAGGAGCTCAGGTCAGGAGAGTTTCATTGCCATTTCTACCCTGTAGCTCATGTGCATATGACAATAAAACCTTTGAATCTTTGAATCCTCTACCTGAGCAGGTGAGGCTAACAGCTCTGCCAGGTGAGCAGGTGTTTCTCTCTGAGGCTGAGCTACAGTCCAGGAGAGCAGACTCATGGCCTCCACACTGGAACTCTTTGGTCCACATTGGAGCCTCCCCTCCTCCATAGAGCGCCCCCTGGAGGACTGAAGGAGCCCCACAGCCCAGCTGCCTGCAGACCACCTGAGCATCCTGCTGGTCAAAGTCAGCCTCACACACTGAGGACCAGGACGGGTTAGACTGGTTAGAGTGGTCAGAGTTCACCTCCAGTCTCCCTGAGCACAGACTGGTCCCATTCACCAGCCTGACAGAGTCTGGAGAGGACAGAAGATACAACTGAGGTAAAGAAACAGTTGCTTTTGCATTTCTATTGTATTTAATGCTTTATCTTATATTTCAATGTTCTTATTTGTTATTTATTTAAAAATCAAAATGTCAGTCAAATCTCAGAGGAAAAGTCAAATTTCGAGGAAAAAGTCAAATATGAAGAAATATGTCAAATGTTGAGAAAACAAAATCCAATTCTAAAAAAAAACGCTGCCCCGGTACCGGGGTCTCTCGGGCTTAAGAGGTTAAAGGAGCTTACCTGAACAGGTAAGAGTCAGGAGGTGGGAAGAGGAACTTGATACTGCACATTCCCTCAGAGCAGATCCAGACTGAACACATTGAGGTCTGATCCTCCACACAATTCTCTTTGAGGACGCCTTTCTCTCTCCTACAGAAACAGCAGAGCCACAGTCGAGTTCTCTGCAGCCAACACCTGCTGTCTTCAGGTTCCAGGGATAGGAAGAGCCATCCACTGGTCTCCATTCTCCTCGATGTTTCACGCTTAGAGTTCCTGCACAGCGACTCTCTCCTCCCACCAGTCTGACCTCATCAGGCTCTGAAGAGAAACAAGAGAGAGATCAGAGAGAGAATAAATTGAGTTTGATGAAATGAACCAATCACAGCTGCAGCTCCTCTATTTTATATTCTATTTACATGTATATCAAATTCAAATGCAAAGGTTGTATTGTCATATGCACATGAGCTACAGGTTAGAAATGGCAATGAGGAATGTTGAAGAAAAAGTCCAAATATGGAGGAAAAAGTCCAAATTTGAAAAAAGTCGACTTGAGAAATAATAAAAATGTGGTTTACAAAATCAAATTCAAAGAAAAAAGCAAAATTTAAAAAAAAATTTAAATGTTGAGGAAAAGTCAACATTTCGGGGAAAAAGTTAAAAAGTCTGAGAACAAAGTCAAAATTGAAGAAAAAAGTCAAATCTTTAGAAAAATGAAAAAAAATAATGCAAGAAGTCAATATACAACATGATATGTACAAAAACAGAATATGAAATTAAATTATGTAAATTGAGACTAAATTAAAACCGGTGTTTTTGTTACCTTCCCTACTGGGCTAGGGGAACCAAAGGAGAGGAAACTGATCTCTGAAGCCACAATATGGTCTTTTAATGGACAAAAGAAAAAGGGCTCACCAGCCAACTTGCAAAGCAAACTAAGATAAACTAGAACACAAATATACACTGGAGCACATCAGAGACAGAGACACCATGCTGCACACATGCAGCCAGAGGAGACGGAGAGAGCGACTGCAGCCTTCCTCAGATCCTTTATGGAGGCCCTGATTGGGGATTGGGAGCACCTGAGGGAGAGGCTGCTCCTGGAGACAAACAGGGGGAAAGAGAGAGAGACACACAAATACCCACACACACTACGGCACATAACTATTTATATAAATAAGTAGATTTCAAGATGAGACTTCTTGCTTATTGATTGTAGACTTCTTCCACTATTTATTGTTTTGTATTTTATGTTGTTTTGTTGGAGGAGCTCCGGTCAGGAGAGTTTCATTGCCATTTCTACCCTGTAGCTTTTGTGCATAGATGACAATAAAACCTTTGAACCTTTGAATCTTCTACCTGAGCAGGTGAGGCTAACAGCTCTGCCAGGTGAGCAGGTGTTTCTCTCTGAGGCTGAGCTACAGTCCAGGAGAGCAGACTCATGGCCTCCACACTGGAACTCTGTGGTCCCCATTGGAGCCTCCCCTTCTCCATAGAGCGCCCCCTGGAGGACTGAAGGAGCCCCACAGCCCAGCTGCCTGCAGACCACCTGAGCATCCTGCTGGTCAAAGTCAGCCTCACACACTGAGGACCAGGACGGGTTGGACTGGTTAGACTTCACCTCCAGTCTACCTGAACACGGACTGGTCCCATTCACCAGCCTGACAGAGTCTGGAGAGGAGAGAAGATAAAACTGAGGTAAAGAAACAGTTACTTTTTGAATTTGTATTGTATTTTATACTTTATCTTATATTTCTATTTTTGAAATTTGAGGAAAAGTCAACATTTTGAGGAAAAAGTCAAAAGTTTGAGGGAAAAGTCAAATGTTGTGAAATAAGCCAAATATGGAGAAAAAAAAGAAAATTCTAAAGAAAAGAGTTAACCTGTTAAGCCCTGAGCCTGTTTTTGAGGTTTCAGGCTCGAAAATGCTATGCCCAAAACAAATGACTATAACTTAACTTCTAAAAGGGTTATAAGAATAATTAATTTTATTAAAGCAAGGGTACATCTGTGAGTTGGATGTAGAAGTGTCAGAATAAATATATGTTTCTGTGTCAGAGTAAATGCAGATGGAACATAGTATACAAAGGTAAATTCTTACCTTCGCCTAAAACATTACTTATAGTAAAAACCACCCTTGAATGATGGGATGGTAGACTAAAAGCTTTAGGAACCCAAAGTATAACATATAATAAGTACCCTGTATCAAGATTGATGCAAAACAAGTACAATTTGACCTTTTTAGAGAGATTTACCTTTGGGCACATTTGGATACCATCAGTGCCATTTGACCTTTTTCAGGTACCATACTGTAAAGATAATTTTATTATCACTATAAGTAATCATTGCATCCAAATACAAGTGTTTTTTTTAAAAGAAAAAACAATTATTTTAAAATTACATTTATTTGTGTATGTAAATGATGTGTGTGTGTGTCTGTGTGTGGACTTTTCCATAGTCCTTACATGTTTATCACCCGACTAACACTTCTAGGAAGGTGTAACGGAGGTGATCTCTGGGCCCATAGATCTCGGCCTCCGTTACGGTTAATATAGCACTAAAAACATTTCACAGGAAGCTGGGGAATATATGTAATTTATGTAACTAGTTTGTCTGTCTTTGTTTCCTGGTTTCATTCTGAAAAGTGTTCCCCTTCCCCCACGTCTGTTGCTGATTGTGTGCACCTGGTGCCCTGTGTTGTCTCCTCCCCCCTCACCTGTGTCTTGTTGGTTGATTAGGGTGTGTGTGCATTTAGGCTCTGTTTCCCTGTCTGTTAGGAGGCTGGTAGTGTGGTGTAAAATCCCTGTGGTTGGTGACGGTGTGCACATGTTCAGCCGGATTGAGGCTGTCAATCATGTGTCTGATTTAATAAATGCCCACACCGGGTTATATTTTTGGACGTTCTGCCTCTGCCTCCTTGCTTGGTCGGGCCGCTCAATTGTCAGCTTCACAATTGGTGTCAGAAGTGGGATTGACCAAGTGAGGAGGTGAAAACGATGGAGGAACTGAGGGAGATGATGAAGTCATTCCTGCAGTATGAGACAGCCAAATTCAAGCGGGAGGAGTGCCGTTTGAGGAACATGGAGCAGACATTTTCACTGATACAGGAACAGGTTTCCCTGAAGAGAAAGAAGAGCAGCTCAGGTTGCAGATGGAGGAAGAGGAGAAGCTGAGAAAGGAAGAGGAGATGCGCTTAGCGGATGAGGCTCATCTGATACGCCTGCAGGAGGAGAAGAAACTTAAAGACGAGGAAGTTGCTTTTCTAGCGGAGGAGGAGCGGGTGAAAATGGCCGACAAGATCCGTCAGGAGGGAGAGCGCGTCATGCAGCGACAGCTGGAGGAGATAAGGGCTCAGGCTCAGGCTCATGCAGAGGCCCCGTCAGCCGCTCAGACTCAGGTGGAGAAGCAGGTGATGAAGACGCTGCAGGCGGAAAATTCGGCGTACGTGGAGAACCTGACGGAGGCCATCACGAAGGAGCGGGAGAAAGAGTTGAGGAAGAAAGGGAGCTTCCTTCCGACTTCACGCCCCCTTCTGAGGAAACCATGCGGCACAAGGGGAAGCAGAAACACCGGGTGGAGTGGAGAGACATGGAGGAGAGCAAAATGGCCAAGATCAACAAGTGTCGCAGGAATGAGGTACTATTCTCTTTCGTGAGAGGAAGGAGGAAATGTGACGAAGATGGCTTCGTCACTGTGGACTGACGGTTTCAGGCTTGCATATGTGCACATTTTTATAAAATGTATACTATTTATTGATGTAGTCCATCCATCCATCCATCTTCTCCGCTTATCCGTGGTCGGGTCGCGGGGGTAGCAGTTCCAGCAGAGAGCCCCAAACTTTCTTTTCCCTGGCGACATCAACCAGCTCTGACTGGGGGATCCCAAGGCGCTCCCAGGCCAGCGAAGAGATATAATCCCTCCACCTGGTCCTAGGTCTACCCCTTGGTCTTTTCCCAGCTGGACGTGCCTGGAACACCTCCCTAGGGAGGCGCCCAGGTGGCATCCTTACTAGGTGCCCGAACCACTTCAACTGGCTCCTTTCGACGCGAAGGAGGAGCGGTTCAACTCCGAGTCCCTCCCGGATGACCGAACTTCTCACCTTATCCCTAAGGGAGACACCAGCCACCCTGCGGAGAAAACCCATCTCGGCCGCTTGTATCCGCGATCTCGTTCTTTTCGGTCATGACCCATCCTTCATGACCATAGGTGAGGGTAGGAACGAAAATGGCCCGGTAGACAGAGAGCTTTGCCTTCTGGCTCAGCTCCCTTTTCGTCACAACGGTGCGGTAAAGCGACTGCAGTACCGCTCCCGCTGCTCCGATTCTCCGGCCCATCTCACGCTCCATTGTTCCCTCACTCGAGAACAAGACCCCGAGATACTTGAACTCCTTCACTTGGGGTAAGGACTCATTCCCTACTTGGAGTGGACAGTCCATCGGTTTCCTGCTGAGAACCATGGCCTCAGATTTGGAGGTGCTGATCCTCATCCCAGCCGCTTCACACTCGGTTGCGAACTGTCACGGCTGCTGCTGCTGTCTGCTCATTAACCTGCCTGTGAGTGTTTTCAGCTGTGGGTGATTATGTAAATGAGCTGTGTGGTTGCCCCAACATCATTAGCTGTCATCTCCTGGTCCACTTCCGAGGACACTGATTGGAGCACGCCGGGTCCGACGTTCTCCAATCCCTGTGCCAGCCCAGCGCACACCTGCTGGAGAGGACTACAAAGCCTGGGAACTATCACCACTCTGGAGGCTCTGCTGCGATCAGACGCCTCATACCTTTTTGCTCTTGTGTCATGGACATTACAGACTGTGCTTAGTGACGAGTGTCCATATATGTGTTCAGTGTCGTGTGACAACTTATGTGCTTAGTATTGAGTGTGGAGATATGTGTGTAGAAGTAGTGTGCTGTGTAGGATATTGTGAAACAGCTTAGACCCAGGTAACTAGCACCTGTTGATCAGCTACAGCTGTGCCTTCCTTTATTTAGTTGTACCACTGTTAAAGTGAGGTTTTGTTTCATTTTCGCTATTAGTATTTATTTATTCTGTATGCCAGTAGACTCCTTTTTAAGAGTCCTCCCTTTGTTTGGTCAATTGTCAACCGGTGCCCTTTTGGCCCTTTTGTTTGTTTCAGGCTGCCTGCCTGCCATTTTTGTTACACTATGCATTATAATAAAGCCACTTATAATTAATACCAATACCACTCTGGTCGTGTCGCTTCCCTTTGGTTCCCCTAGCCCAATAGGGAACGTAACACGAACCGATCCAGTGAGTGCTGAAGGTCGCAGACCGATGAAGCCATTAGAACCACATCATCTGCAAAAAGCAGTGGTGCAATCCTTAGTCCACCGAACTGCAGACCCCCTCCCCCATGACTACGCCTCGAAATCCGATCCATGTATATTACAAACAGGATTGGTGACAAAGCGCAGCCCTGGCGGAGGCCAACCCTCACCGGAAATGGGTCCGACTTACTGCCGAGGACCCGGACACAGCTCTCGCTTTGGGAGTACAGAGATTGGATGAGCCTGAGTAGAGACCCCCTCATCTCTGGTGATCTCTGGGCCCATAGATCTCGGCCTCCGTTACGGGTAATATAGCACTAAAAACATTTCACAGGAAGCTGGGGAATATATGTAATTTATGTAACTAGTTTGTCGGTCTTTGTTTCCTGGTTTCATTCTGAAAAGTGTTCCCCTTCCCCCACGTCTGTTGCTGATTGTGTGCACCTGGTGCCCTGTGTTGTCTCCTCCCCCCTCACCTGTGTCTTGTTGGTTGATTAGGATGTGTGTGCATTTAGGCTCTGTTTCCCTGTCTGTTAGGAGGCTGGTAGTGTGGTGTAAAATCCCTGTGGTTGGTGACGGTGTGCACATGTTCAGCCGGATTGAGGCTGCCAATCATGTGTCTGATTTAATAAATGCCCACACCGGGTTATATTTTTGGACGTTCTGCCTCTGCCTTCTTGCTTGGTCGGGCCGCTCAATTGTCAGCTTCACAGAAGGTTTACTTACACAATCAAAATTAGGAAACATATGATACATTTGTCTCCAACAGGAGCAGATTTATTTCAAAAATAACACACTCAAAAACTACACGAAAACCAAAATAACACCACAAGCATTTTTTTGTAAACAAACGCTGGCAAAAAAGAAAAAATGTACACAACCTGAATGTGTTTAGTCCGAGGTGTGCCGCGCCTCGAAACAGTTCTTTGAATTGAGGCACAGAGGGACCAGGCACTTAGTGCAGTAGATAGGTGTCTTCACCGGTTTGTTGCCAGCACCAGAGCACCTCCTGAGCGCAGTGGCATCTTCCCCATAATACTAACACGACTTTTGATCACAAAACAGCAACGATAAGACATCATTATTGTTATGGTTTAGAACACTGTTGTTGTTTTCTTGCTCTGTTCTGGCTGCTAGCTCAGTGAGTTCGTGTCGTGCAGTGATGATAATTATATCAAGATAATCCGTGGAGTATCAGCTTTCAGATGATATGTAGTTTGTGCTGAACATATTAAGTTTTAAATATCGTTTTTGCTAGTTAGCACCGGAAGTGGCATCAGCCAGTTTAGTTTTGGTAAAAATGGCTGATATCGTCAGGTAGCTGAGTTTCTTCACGTTAATTGAGTATAAGACATTCATAGGTTTTTAAATGTTAAGAAGCCCTGAGACACAGTTTTGTGAGAAAAAAAAACGCTGGCCCGGTACCGGGGTCTCTCGGGCTTAAGACGTTAAAGGAGCTTACCTGAACAGGTAAGAGTCAGGAGGTGGGAAGAGGAACTTGATACTGCACATTCCCTCAGAGCAGATGCAGACTGAACACATTGAGGTCTGATCCTCCACACAGATCTCTTTGAGGACGCCTTTCTCTCTCCTACAGAAACAGCAGAGCCACAGTTGAGCTCTCTGCAGGGAACACCTGCTGTCTTCAGGGTCCAGAGAGAGTTAATGCCCACTGGTCTCCATTCTCCCCGATGTTTCACCTCCAGAGTTCCTGCACAGCGACTCTCTCCTCCCACCAGTCTGACCGGATCTGAAGAGAAACAAGAGAGAGATCAGAGAGAGAATAAAGAGAGTTTCATGAAATGAACCAATCACAGCTGCAGCTCCTCTATTTTATATTCTATTTACATGTATATCAAATTCAAAGCTTTTATGTTCATATGCACATGAGCTACAGGTTAGAAATAGCAATGAGGAATTTTTTTAAAAAATCCTAAATTTGAGGAAAAAGTCAAAAATTGAGAAAAAAACTAATTTTTGCAAAGTCAAAAACTATGAGAAACATTTTTAAAAACTCGACATTCTTTTGGGGAAGTTTGATAATAAAAAAAAAGTTACATTTTGCAAAAAAAGTCCAAATTTCGAGGAAAAGTCTAATTGTGAGAACAGACAAAAAATGACAAAAAAGAAAACTTTAGAGAAATAAGTCAAATTTTGAGGAAAAAAAAGTAATTGTGCAAGAAGTCTATACAATATGATATACAAGAACATAATATTAAATTAAATAATGTACACTAAGACTAAATTAAAAACCATTTATTGCGGTGATAACTATGTATATATAACTATTAATAACTAGATTGCAAGATGAGACTTCTTGCACTATTTTTAGTAATTTATGATATACAGTGGGGCAAAAAAGTATTTAGTCAGCCACCAATTGTGCAAGTTCTCCCACTTAAAAACATGAGAGAGGCCTGTAATCTTCATCCTAGGTGCACCTCAACTCTGAGAGACAAAATTAAAAAAATTAAAAATCCAGAAAATCACATTGTCTGATTTTTAAAGAATTTATTTGCAAATGATGGTGGAAAATAAGTATTTGGTCAATAACAAAAGTTCATCTCAATACTTTGTTATATACCCTTTGTTGGCAATGACAGAGGTCAAACGTTTTCTGTAAGTCTTCACAAGGTGTTCACACACTGTTGCTGGTATGTTGGCCCATTCCTCCATGCAGAGCTCCTCTAGAGCAGTGATGTTTTGGGGCTGTCGCTGGGCAACACAGACTTTCAACTCCCTCCAAAGATTTTCTATGCGGTTGAGATCTGGAGACTGGCTAGGCCACTCCAGGACCTTGAAATGCTTCTTACGAAGCCACTCCTTCGTTGCCCGGGCGGTGTGTTTGGGATCATTGTCATGCTGAAAGACCCAGCCACGTTTCATCTTCAATGCCCTTGCTGATGGAAGCAGGTTGTCACTCAAAATCTCACGATACATGGCCCCATTCATTCTTTCCTTTACACGGATCAGTCGTCCTGGTCCCTTTGCAGAGACACAGCCCCAAAGCACGATGTTTCCACCCCCATGTTTCACAGTAGGTGTTCTTTGGATGCAACTCAGCATTCTTTCTCCTCCAAACACGTCTAGTTGAGTTTTTACCAAAAAGTTCTATTTTGGTTTCATCTGACCATATGACATTCTCCCAATCCTCTTCTGGATCATCTAAATGCTCTCTAGCAAACTTCAGACGGGTCTGGACATGTACTGGTTTAAGCAGGGGGACACGTCTGGCACTGCAGGATTTGAGTCCCTGGCGGCGTAGTGTGTTACTGATGGTAGCCTTTGTTACTTTGGTCCCAGCTCTCTGCAGGTCATTGACTCGGTCCCCCCGTGTGGTTCTGGGATGTTTGCTCACCGTTCTTGTGATCATTTTGACCCCACAGGGTGAGATCTTGCGTGGAGCCCCAGATCGAGGGAGATTATCAGTGGTCTTGTATGTCTTCCATTTTCTAATAATTGCTCCCACAGTTGATTTCTTCACACCAAGCTGCTTACCTATTGCAGATTCAGTCTTCCCAGCCTGGTGCAGGTCTACCATTTAGTTTCTGGTGTCCTTTGACAGCTCTTTGGTCTTGGCCATAGTGGAGTTTGGAGTGTGACTGTTTGAGGTTGTGGACAGGTGTCTTTTATACTGATAGCGAGTTCAAACAGGTGCCATTAATACAGTTAACGAGTGGAGGACAGAGGAGGCTCTTAAAGAAGAAGTTACAGGTCTGTGAGAGCCAGACATCTTGTTTGTTTGTAGGTGACCAAATACTTATTTTACCGAGGAATTTACCAATTCATTCATTAAAAATCCTACAATGTGATTTCCTGGATTCTTTCCCCCCATTCTGTCTCTCATAGTTGAAGTGTACCGAGGATGAAAATTACAGGCCTCTCATCTTTTTAAGTGGGAGAACTTGCACAATTTGTGGCTGACTAAATACTTTTTTGCCCCACTGTATGTTGCATTGTTGGAGGAGCTCAGAGGCCTGTACTACGAAGCCGGTTCAACCTAACCTGGATATGTTTGAGTTAGCCGGTTGGCCTAATCCAAAACATACGCGCTCTCGCTAAACGGTACTACGACGCTGGTTATCAAGTGGATCTCTCAAGCCAGCCGTGTCCTATCTAGTTAGGTGTTCACATGAGAGGGGTGGTATCTGGAGCATTCGACCAATCACAGACATGGAGAAACGCACTGACAGCGCAGCGTCATACTTCCTGAATGAAAAGTCAACTATAATATTAGACATATGAAGAAGTTAAACTTTAAACATCCATGACTCAAACACTTGATCCAGGATCAAAGCCACAGAGCTGCACCTGCAAGGTGAACACAGCTGGTAACAGAACAAGTGTTTGAATGTGTACATTAACAGCTTTATGATATCACTGCCCGTCTAAGACACCATCTGACTTTCATTACATTTGACTCCAGTGTTTCCTCAACTTAATGTGTTGCTTCAAATAATCCTTCTGCATCCAGTCTGTGACGCTGTGAGTGTTGCACGGCCAGATACGGCTCAGCTGACTCAGATCAGGAGATGATACATTATGAAGTGATATGCCGCGGACTGTACTTAATGTGACTCTGATCCGGTTACTTATGTTGTGGCAGATATTTCAGTAAGCTTTCTTAACGCTAATGTTATAATAGTCAGATTGCTCTGAAGATGGAGCTGATATTCTATTCATGTTCACCTTCACACAGTCGCTGATTTTTGCCGGCCGTCTTTCCTGCAACGGCAGTTTAAACTGTATTTCTTTTCTCCTGTAATATGACTTGATCGCTTTAAACTCCGCACACTGAGCTCTGATTGGTCAGCAGGCAGTGCTTTCACTGAGTTGAGCTCTTAGCCTGCAACCTAACCTGCTCCGGAGCAGGTTAGCCGCTCAGCATAAGTTACCATGGAGATCTAGCCCGCTAAAAAGAGAACCAGCTTCGTAGGACCGGAAACCCAGAGTATTCCCTGAAGTTAGCCGCTAAGAGAACATCCGGCTTCGTAGTACAGGCCTCCGGTCAGGAGCATTTCATTGCCATTTCTACCCTGTAGCTTATGTGCATAGATGACAATTAAACCTTTGAACCTTTGAACCTTCTACCTGAGCAGGTGAGGCTAACAGCTCTGCCAGGTGAGCAGGTGTTTCTCTCTGAGGCTGAGCTACAGTCCAGGAGAGCAGACTCATGGCCTCCACACTGGAACTCTGTGGTCCCCATTGGAGCCTCCCCTTCTCCATAGAGCGCCCCCTGGAGGACTGAAGGAGCCCCACAGCCCAGCTGCCTGCAGACCACCTGAGCATCCTGCTGGTCAAAGTCAGCCTCACACACTGAGGACCAGGACGGGTTAGACTGGTTAGACTGGTTAGACTTCACCTCCAGTCTACCTGAGCACAGACTGGTCCCATTCACCAGCCTGACAGAGTCTGGAGAGGACAGAAGATACAACTGATGTAAAGAAACAGTTAGTTCTATAATTGTTATTGTATTTTCTTATTTATCTTTTTTTTTCTATGTTCTTATTTGTTATTTAATTAAAAATCAAAATTTGAGAGAGAAGTCAAATATCTGAGAAAAAAGTCAACATTTGAGGAACAGTCGAATTCTGGGAAAGAGTCAAAGCAGCTTACCTGAACAGGTAAGAGTCAGGAAGTGGGAAGATGAACCTGCTGCTGCACACTCCCTCAGAGCAGATCCATACTGAACACAGTCAGGTCTGATCCCCCACACAGATCTCTCTGAGGACTCCTCTCTCTCTCCCACAGAAACAGCAGAGCCACAGTCGAGTTCTCTGCAGAGAACGCTTGCTGCCTCCAGGGTCCAGGTAGGAAAACCAATCACTGGTCTCCATTCTCCCCGAAGCTTCAGCTCCAGGTCTCCTGCACAGCGACTCTCTCCTCCCACCAGTCTGACCGGCTCTGTAGAGAAACAAGAGAGTCATCAGAGAGAGAATAAAGTGAGATTGATGAAATGAACCAATCACAGATGTTGGGGAAATATTTTCCCAGGCAAATAACTTTGACCCAGTTACTCAATTTGTACTGCCTTTGAATCTTTGAATCTTCTACCTGAGCAGGTGAGGCTAACAGCTGTGCCAGGTGAGCAGGTGTTTCTCTCTGAGGCTGAGCTACAGTCCAGGAGAGCAGACTCATGGCCTCCACACTGGAACTCTGTGGTCCCCATTGGAGCCTCCCCTTCTCCATAGAGCGCCCCCTGGAGGACTGAAGGAGCCCCACAGCCCAGCTGCCGGCAGACCACCTGAGCATCCTGCTGGTCAAAGTCAGCCTCACACACTGAGGACCAGGACGGGTTAGACTGGTTAGACTTCACCTCCAGTCTACCTGAACACAGACTGGTCCCATTCACCAGCCTGACAGAGTCTGGAGAGGACAGAAGATACAACTGAGGTAAAGAAACAGTTACTTTTAGAATTTATTGTATTTTATACTTTATCTTTTACTTCTATTTTCTTACTTGTTATCTATTTAAAAATCTAAAATGTAGGAAGTTGTCAAATGTGGAGAAATAATTCAAATTTGGAGGACAAGTCAAAATTCTATGAAAAGTTAAATTGTGAGAAAAAAGTCAAACATTTTAGGAAAAGTTTAAAGAAAAAAGTCAAAGGAGCTTACCTGAACAGGTGAGAGTCAGGAAGTGGTCAAATGAACCTGATAATGCACACTCCCTCAGAGCAGATCCAGACTGAACACAGGTAGGTCTGATCCACCACAAAGGTCTAAATGAGGACTCCTTTCTCTCTCCCACAGAAACAGCAGAGCCACAGTCGAGATATCTGCAGAGAACACCTGCTGCCTTCAGGGTCCAGAGAGAGTTAAATCCCCCCACTGGTCTCCATTCTCCCCGATGCTTCACCTCCAGGTCTCCCTCACAGCGTCTCTCTCCTCCCACCAGTCTGACCGGCTCTGAAGAGAAACAAGAGAGAGATCAGAGAGAGAATAAAGAGAGTTTGATGAGAACAGAATGAACCAATCACAGCTCCTCTTGAGCAGGTGAGGCTAACAGCTCTGCCAGGTGAGCAGGTGTTTCTCTCTGAGGCTGAGCTACAGTCCAGGAATAAAAAAGGACTGAGAAAAAACTCAAATTTGAAAAAATAAGTCAAATCTTGAGAAATGTGTTGTTTTTCTCGAAAAAGGCAACATTTCGAGGAAACGTCAAATTGTCACAAAAGTCCACATTATACAAAAAAGTAAAGATTTGAGGAAACGTCACCTTTTGAGGAACAGTGAAATTCTGAGAAAGAGTCAAAGGAGCTTACCTGAACATGTAAGAGTCAGGAAGTAGGAAGAGTAACTTGCTGCTGCACACTCCCTCAGAGCAGATTCAGACTCAACACAGGTAGGTCTGATCCCCCACACAGATCTCTCTGAGGACTCCACTCTCTCTCCCACTGAAACAGCAGAGCCACAGTCCAGATCTCTGCAGAGAACTTTTGCTTCCTTCAGGGTCCAGGTAGGAAAACCAATCACTGGTCTCCATTCTCCCCAAAGCTTCAGCTCCAGAGCTCCTGCACAGCGACTCTCTCCTCCCACCAGTCTCACCGGCTCTGAAGAGAAACAAGAGAGTCATCAGAGAGAGAATAAAGAGAGTTTGATGAAATGAACCAATTGAAGATTTTGGAGAAATATTTCCTCGGCCCATAACTTTGACCCAGTTTATCAGTCTGCCCTCGCTGAGAACAGGCCTGCTACCCTGGGCTGCTCTCAGTGTTCTGTCTCCCTGTTCCTGCCTGTTGGCTTCAGCTGATAGAGGTGCTATAGTGCTCCTCCTGTTTGATCTTGTTATGCACAATGTTGATTATTCTCTCAGAACTGGCTGAATGCAGGGCTCTGGGGTAGAGATGTTCAGAATTGGTTTGGCAGCAGCTGTGTCACCTCGTGGCTGCAGCACGTCTTGTCAAATTCTCCGGCCGTAACTCCATAATAAACCCTCAGTGTTTGCCATCAAAGTTCCAGCTCTCCCCGTGTCTCTGAGCTTTGTCTCCATTGCTTCAGAAGTTTCCATTATTACATTATATCGCATTTAGCTGACGCTTTTATCCAAAGCGACTTACAATAAGTGCATTCGACCAACAAGATACAAACTTGAGGAAAACAGAATCATATAAGTACATCAGGTTTCATAGAGCCAAACATTTCAAGTGCTACTCAACTGGCTTTAGATAAGCCAGTCCTTTATTAGTATATAAGTGCTTTGTTCTATCGCTCGAAGTGGAGTCGAAAGAGATGAGTTTTCAGTCTGGAAGGTGTGTAAGCTTTCTGCTGTCCTGATGTCAATGAGGAGCTCATTCCACCATTTTGGAGCCAGGACAGCAAACCCACGTGTTTCTGCTGATGGGAACTTGGGTCCCCCTCGCAGCGAGGGCGCAGCGAGTCGTTTGGTTGATGCAGAGCGGAGTGCACGTGCTGGGGTGTACGGTTTAACCATGTCCTGGATGTAGGAAGGGCCAGATCCATTCGCAGCATGGTAAGCAAGTACCAGTGTCTTGAAGTGGATTCTAGCAGTTACCGGAAGCCAGTGAAGGGAGCGGAGGAGCGGAGTGGTGTGGGAACATTTAGGAAGGGTGAAGACCAGACGAGCCGCTGCATTCTGGATGAGCTGCAGAGGTCGGATGGCACATGCAGGTAGACCAGCCAGGAGGGAGTTGCAGTAGTCTAGGCGTGAGATGACGAGAGCCTGGACCAGAACCTGAGTCGCTTTCTGGGTCAGCTGGGGACGTATCTTCCTGATGTTGTAAAGCGTGTATCTGCAGCAGCGGGTTGTAGCAGCGATGTTTGCAGTGAAGGACAGGTTGTTATCTAGGGTCACACCCAGATTCCTTGCAGTCTGAGTCGGGGAAATAACTGAGGTGCCGATGTTGATTGTTAGGTCAAGAGTGGGACAATCTTTTCCCGGAAGGAAAAGCAGCTCAGTCTTGTCAAGGTTGAGCTTGAGGTGATGAGCAGACATCCACTCAGAGATGTCAGCTAGACAAGTAGAGATGCGTGCGACGACCTGGGTCTCTGAGCGGGGAAAGGACAGAATTAATTGGGTGTCGTCAGCGTAGCAGTGGTAAGAAAAACCATGCGGGCTAATGACTGATCCGAGCGAGTTTGTGTACAAGGAGAAGAGGAGGGGACCAAGAACAGAGCCCTGAGGGACCCCCGTAGTTAATTGACAAGGGTCGGACTCGGACCCTCTCCAAGTAACCCTGTAGGTACGGTCTTTCAGGTATGAGGTGAGGAGGGAAAGTGCAGAGCCTGAAACTCCAAGTTCTTGGAGAGTGCGAAGGAGGATCTGATGATTCACCGTGTCGAATGCAGCAGACAGGTCCAACAGGATGATGACAGAGGAGAGGGAGGCTGCTTTAGCAGTGTGCAGTTCCTCAGTGACAGCAAGGAGGGCAGTTTCTGTGGAGTGACCTGCCTTGAAACCAGACTGGTGCGGATCCAGAAGGTTGTTCTGATGGAGATAGCAGGAGAGTTGTTTAAAGACAGCGCGTTCAAGTGATTTAGACAGGAACGGGAGGAGAGAGACAGGCCTGTAGTTTATAACATCAGACGGGTTGAGAGTGGGTTTCTTTAGGAGAGGGTTTACTCTTGCCTCCTTGAGACTGTTTGGAAAGTGACCAGAAGTTAGAGAAGTGTTGATGAAATGGGTGAGAAACGGTAGAATATCAGGAGCGATAGTCTGAAGGAGGTTTGAAGGGATAGGGTCCAGAGGACAGGTGGTAGGGCGGGCAGAGGTAATGAGGGTAAGAACCTCACTTGGAGAGAGAGGGGAAAGGAGGTCAGTGTGTTGGTGGAAGGAGGGTCTGGTGACCCAGCGGTGAGTAAAGGTGAGTCAGAAAAAGAAGAGCGAATATCATCAACCTTTTTTTCAAAGTGGTTAACAAAGTCGCTTGACAGAAGGGAGGAGGGGGGAGGAGCTTTTGGAGGGTCCAAGAAGGAGGAGAAGATGGAAAATAGTTTTTTGGGATTGGAATAGGAAGATTGGATCTTATCTTGAAAGAAAGTGCTTTTTGCCTGAGAGATCGAAGCAGAGAAAGAGGAGAGGAGAGCTTGATAGGTTAGGAGGTCGTCATGGTGTTTGGATTTCCACCGTTTCCGCTCGGTTCTATTAGCACGCAGTGCGTCATTTAGCCAGGGAGCAGGAGGGGACTGACGAGCCTGCTGAGATGTGAGAGGACAGAGAGAGTCCAGAGTGGATGAGAGAGTAGAGAGGAGAGTTTCTGCAGCAGAGTTTGGAGGCAGCAGTTGGAACGAATCAGAGGAAGGGAGGGCTGAGAGCACCGATGAGGCAAAGTTAGAGGGGGAGAGGGAACGAAGGTTACGGCGGACAGGTGCAGGATGAGAAGAGATTAGTTTGTTATGTTTGGAAAGGGATAGAGAGAATGAAATGAAGAAGTGATCGGATGTGTGGAGCGGGTTTACAGAGAGGTTAGAAATAGCGCAGTTCCTTGAGAATATGAGATCAAGGACATTGCCAGCTTTATGAGTCGGTGGGGACGGAGAGAGTGAGAAAGCAAAGGCGGTTAACAGAGATGTTAGTTCGTCTATCTTCCCCATCTGGAGGGTTGAAGTCTCCGAGAAGTACAGCGGGAGGGCCAGTTTCAGGGATGTGTGAGAGGAGATGATCTAATTCCTCCAAGAAGTCCCCCAAGGCGCCTGGTGGACGGTAGAGAACAACAATGGTTAATTGTATAGGATGGGTTACTGTGACGGCATGGAACTCAAAGGTGGAAGGAGTAAAGTTAGGTAGCTTGAAGAGGGAAAAGCTCCATTTGGGAGAGAGCAGGAGACCAGTGCCACCTCCTCTGCCAGTTGGTCTGGGTGTATGGGAGAAGGAATATGCTGTGGAGAGAGCTGCTGGGGTGGATGTGTTGGATGGAGTAATCCAGGTCTCAGTGAGAGCAAGGAAATCCAGAGACTGCAGGGAGGCGTAGCCAGAGATGAAGTCAGCCTTAGGAACAGCTGACTGGCAGTTCCACAGGCCCCCTGAAACTAGATGTTGGATCTCAGTGGAGCATGTGGGATAGACGAGAGCAGGCCGGTTATATCGATTAGGAGATACACAGGGCCAGTGATAACTGTGAGAAGACACATGAACAGGAATGGAGAAAATACAGATGATTATAGCATGAGGGGCTAAACAACCAAATAAAATAAAACACCAGCGATACTTAGCTCAATCAAAGTAGGATTTTGTCTCCACTTTGCCTCCCTCGTCACTCCCGCAGGACTCCAATGTCTTTGTTAGTCTTCGTCTGTCTGACGCTGACGCTCCAGGAAATAGCTGCCTAAAATGGGCAGCTCCTCTATTTTATATTATATTTACATGTACAGAGACTTCTTGAAGATAGATTGTATATAGACTTCTTGCACTATTTTTTATTCTTTTATTATACAATTTGCATTGTTGGAGGAGCTCAGGTCAGGAGAATTTCATTGCCATTTCTACCCTGTAGGTTATGTGCATATGACAATAAAAACTTGTAATCTTTGAATCTTCTACCTGAGCAGGTGAGGCCAACAGCTGTGCCAGGTGAGCAGGTGTTTCTCTCTGAGGCTGAGCTACAGTCCAGGAGAGCAGACTCATGGCCTCCACACTGGAACTCTTTGGTCCCCATTGGAGCCTCCCCTTCTCCATAGAGCGCCCCCTGGAGGATTGAGGGAGCCCCACAGCCCAGCTGCCTGCAGACCACCTGAGCATCCTGCTGGTCAAAGTCAGCCTCACACACTGAGGACCAGGACGGGTCAGACTGGTTAGACTGGTTAGAGTTCACCTCCAGTCTACCTGAACACAGACTGGTCCCATTCACCAGCCTGACAGAGTCTGGAGAGGACAGAAGATACAACTGAGGTAAAGAAACAGTTACCTTTTAAATTGTTATTGTATTCTTTATCTTTTATTTCAATTTTCTTATTTTTTATTTATTTAAAAATCAAGGAAAAAAGTCAAAAACACTGAAAAAAAGTAAAACGTTGAGAAATAAGTTTCATTCTGAGAAAAAAAGGAGGAAAAGTCAAATTCTGAGAAAAAGTGAAAGCAGCTTACCTGAACAGGTAAGAGTCAGGATGTCGTTAGAGGAACCTGCTGCTGCACATTCCCTCAGAGCAGATGCAGACTGAACACATTCAGAGCTGATCCTCCACACAGATCTCTTTGAGGACGCCTTTCTCTCTCCTAAAGAAACAGCAGAGCCACAGTCCAGATCTCTGCAGAGAACACCTGCTGTCTTCAGAGTCCTGAGAGAGGATAAACCCCCCACTGGTCTCCATTCTCCCTGATGTTTCAGCTCCAGGTCTCCTGCACAGTGACTCTCTCCTCCCACCAGTCTGATCGGCTCTGAAGAGAAACAAGAGGGTCATCAGAGAGAGAATAAAGAGAGTTTGATGAAATGAACCAATCACAGCTGCAGCTCCTCTATTTTATATTCTATTTACATGTATATTAAATTCCAATTCAAATGTATCTACAGTGTAGAACCATCCATACATATTCTCCCGCTTATCCGTGGTCGGGTCGCGGGGGTAGCAGTTCCAGCAGAGAGCCCCAAACTTTCTT